CCCCCCCCCCCCCCCCCCCCCCGCTCAAAAAAAAAAATTGCATAAGCTGTTGTTTTATTTTATGCTCCTGGAAGACTTAAGTTTTGCAAAATGTACTGTCCTAGTTCAAGTTCTAGGTCATTACTGCTTCCTTTGCGGACATCTACAAGCGCTCCTGTAGATTCATTCTCTGTCGTCTTGAATAAATTTAAACCAACACAACCGCGGTTTCTTCCATTGGCATTTTTTTCACTTGTTTGCCCCCTGAGAAACCACGTGATATCGCTTTTATCCCATCAGTCCTCAAGCGTGTGCAAAGATGGCAGGTATCCTGAATAAGGTCTATTATCCGTGTTATAATGGTAGCGTTCTCGTTGTAATTAAAGTGAAACCCCGCTTTATGGACACCCGCTTAATACGGACACCTCATTATTACGGACAGTTTGCTTTGTCCCTGGGGAAAGAAAGCCCTTTTCTTTAAATTTAACCCGCTTAATACCGACACTTTTTATACCCCCTTCAGTGTCCATGTTAACGGGTTTGACTGTATCATGATTTTTAGTGTCAGCTTTATTTCCAACTCACGAAAATCATCCCGAAATATGCCGATAGCACTCTCTTCGAGGTAGTTCAAACCTCACGAATATCAGTCGAAAAGCAGCTATTGGATCGAGGTTTAGACTCCCTTTAATGATTTTTGTGGAAACGTCTACGTGTTGATAACTACGGCCGGTAGTAGTTAGGCCTGCTTCAAGCGTCATGCTACCTTGTCGAACTAGATTGACTGTGTGAAGTTCCACTAAAGCACGGCCTTAGTTTAAAGTTTGAAACCAAATCGTGCTAAATTGACGTGTAGCACCATAAGTTTCGTCTGGTACACGGCAGTAGCACGATCTAGTTTCAAACGTAGTGTTACTTCCGTGCTGAATTTGATTTATATCTTATATATGCGTGAGAATTATCATAAAAACATTTTTAGAGCTGTTTAAACCGTTTTTTTTTTCTATTTTTTTATTTTCGACAACCGCTACTTTATTCAACTGAAATTAATTCAACATCTGAAACCAAGTCATGCTAGAGTCGTGTTAGTAAGAGTAGTCGTGCTACAGTACGTTGAGCTAGATTACCGCTGCAGGAGTACCACGTTTGAAACGGGTCTAAAACAGGTAATTTTAGGCCATTTTCATGTTTTTTTTCTCGTTTTTAGATTTATGGACCCGAGGAATGGCAAAAACAACCTATCAAAGGATCACCAGTACTACCCAGGCGGAAAATGTCAGCTTTTTGTCCACACTTTTATTCCGATGGATGAACGATGTTCTAAAGTCTGGAAATGAACGGGCTATCGANCGCTCAAAAAAAAAAATTGCATAAGCTGTTGTTTTATTTTATGCTCCTGGAAGACTTAAGTTTTGCAAAATGTACTGTCCTAGTTCAAGTTCTAGGTCATTACTGCTTCCTTTGCGGACATCTACAAGCGCTCCTGTAGATTCATTCTCTGTCGTCTTGAATAAATTTAAACCAACACAACCGCGGTTTCTTCCATTGGCATTTTTTTCACTTGTTTGCCCCCTGAGAAACCACGTGATATCGCTTTTATCCCATCAGTCCTCAAGCGTGTGCAAAGATGGCAGGTATCCTGAATAAGGTCTATTATCCGTGTTATAATGGTAGCGTTCTCGTTGTAATTAAAGTGAAACCCCGCTTTATGGACACCCGCTTAATACGGACACCTCATTATTACGGACAGTTTGCTTTGTCCCTGGGGAAAGAAAGCCCTTTTCTTTAAATTTAACCCGCTTAATACCGACACTTTTTATACCCCCTTCAGTGTCCATGTTAACGGGTTTGACTGTATCATGATTTTTAGTGTCAGCTTTATTTCCAACTCACGAAAATCATCCCGAAATATGCCGATAGCACTCTCTTCGAGGTAGTTCAAACCTCACGAATATCAGTCGAAAAGCAGCTATTGGATCGAGGTTTAGACTCCCTTTAATGATTTTTGTGGAAACGTCTACGTGTTGATAACTACGGCCGGTAGTAGTTAGGCCTGCTTCAAGCGTCATGCTACCTTGTCGAACTAGATTGACTGTGTGAAGTTCCACTAAAGCACGGCCTTAGTTTAAAGTTTGAAACCAAATCGTGCTAAATTGACGTGTAGCACCATAAGTTTCGTCTGGTACACGGCAGTAGCACGATCTAGTTTCAAACGTAGTGTTACTTCCGTGCTGAATTTGATTTATATCTTATATATGCGTGAGAATTATCATAAAAACATTTTTAGAGCTGTTTAAACCGTTTTTTTTTTCTATTTTTTTATTTTCGACAACCGCTACTTTATTCAACTGAAATTAATTCAACATCTGAAACCAAGTCATGCTAGAGTCGTGTTAGTAAGAGTAGTCGTGCTACAGTACGTTGAGCTAGATTACCGCTGCAGGAGTACCACGTTTGAAACGGGTCTAAAACAGGTAATTTTAGGCCATTTTCATGTTTTTTTTCTCGTTTTTAGATTTATGGACCCGAGGAATGGCAAAAACAACCTATCAAAGGATCACCAGTACTACCCAGGCGGAAAATGTCAGCTTTTTGTCCACACTTTTATTCCGATGGATGAACGATGTTCTAAAGTCTGGAAATGAACGGGCTATCGATGAAAATGATTTTTTGTCTCTTAACGAAGAATGCACCGCATGCTTTTTGACAGAGCAGCTTCAGTCGAAATGGACAGATGAAACAGCTAACAGCAAAAGACATGATAAACAACCAAAACTTTGGAAAAGTGTGTTGAAGATGCTCACCACCAGGGAAGCAATGATCCTCTTTGTAACTGCCACAATGCTTCTATTTTGTCGCGTTCTCCAACCACTGTTACTTGGATATCTCGTCAAATCTCTGATGACGGCCGAGCTACAGCATCATTTTCTTCTGTATGGCTGTACTTTAGCACTCGGGATCAATGAATTAATCGGTTCTCTCAGTTGGCACCAATTTGACTACCGCTGTGAGATCTTCGGTATCAGAATTAGTAGCGCCATTAAAGGAATAGTGTATATAAAGGTAACGAAGAAAACAAAAAACAAGTGACAAGTAGGGACGTTAAGGAATTTTTACAGCACTAAGCCCTGTGGAAACGGACGCGTTATTGTTGGCCAGCAACTTACAACATTGTTAGATGTTACATGTCGCGTCTGTTTGCACACCCTCTTGCATGTTGTTGGGTTCGTTTTCACGTAACTTTAGCTCACAATCACCCCCCTCCCTAATTGTTAGGCTTTTCTACTTCCTTCACTATTACTCCACTCTTCCTATTTTCCATCATTTTTTTTTTTTCGGGCTCATCCTGACAGATTCTTTTACTTGAGAATCACTTATTTTTTTAGGGATTGAGCAGATCACCGAACGCCTTCAAATGTTAAATTTTACCGCCAAGATTCAGTATTATTCTTTACATCACTCTGTCAATCACAAACGTGTCGTCGTCGACAATTGATATGAACCACCTTCTCTAAGAGTTGGGGATTGTTGTAATCAAGCCCTACTCCTTGGTTTTGTTTTATTTCGGTTTTTTGTTTGTTTGTTTGTTTGATTTTTAAATTTAAGGTCTAATAACTAATCAACACTCAATGATTTGGTTAATCCTTGACCCTTGACCATGTAACCTTCTTTTTATTGCTTCTGTAAAATATTTACTAGGAATACATGAATTTTTTTTTGCAGACCCTTCTCCTCAGCAAGGATTCATTGCTGAGGATTTCAACTGGCCACGTGATAGATCTCGTATCGAACGATGTTCAGCGGTTGGAAGGCGAAACCTTCATGTTATTGTTCCATGCAGCTCACTTCTTTTTAGAGTTTTTAATAGTAACATTTTTCGCCGTCTATTTCATCGGATGGCAGGTTATAGTGGGGTTTATCTTACTGAGTATTCTTCTACCGTGCTTTAGTGCACTGTCCCATGGTGGAGCTGTACTGCGCCTGCGTACAGCAGCGGTTTCTGACCGCCGCATCTCGTTGATCAACCAGGTTGTGTCTGGAATCCGCGCCATCAAAACAAACGCATGGGAAGATGAATATAGAAAAAAGATAAAGAACGTGAGGAGGTAAGGAAAATTTCAACAAGGGCTACCACTGAGCTATTTCTTACGATAAATATGCACATCGTTAACCTGGTAACCTTTTTTTTTCTGTCCTATGACAAATCCATGGGATTTTGTTTTTTCACCCCATTTAAGATAATCCGGATTCAGAAATTCGAGAATTTTAATTTTTGTTTTGGAATCCGGAATTCAAGCTCCACTGACAACTGAAGGAATCCTGAGTCCAGTACTTAGAATTTGGAATCGACATTGATCTAATCTCCTTACCTAGACTTTCTAAAAGTTCTTATGGTTGGTTATGCCATTTTAAAGGACTTTTCACACCTGTTTGTATAGGTAATAGTATGAATTGTAGTGACATTTGGCATAAATACCACGGGTGATATTTCGAAATTGTTATACGTAATTTCACTCGCCTAACGGCTCGTGAAATTTGAGACAATTTTGAAATATCACGAGTGGTATTTATGCCAAATATCACGTACAAATCATGCTATTATTTGTTTATACTACTACCCGCAAAAGGTTTGTAATTTTCACATGTAGGTATTACAAATTAAGCTGAAATACCACTGCTCTAAGCCAATCAGATTGCGGAAATTTCTCATGTCGTAGTATAAGGCGCGAAATTCACCGGTCGAAAATTCTATCAGTGACGTCATGATAATTGACCAATAGGACAGTTAGTGATATCTCACGCCGCTCCCGACACAGCATATGTCAATCATTTTTTTTCCCGCGTGAATTTATAATTATATTAACATTCAAATCCATTCAGGCGAAACAAGTCGACCTCGTCACTTCGCTCACTTTCTGTAAGAACTTATGAGAGGTCGACTTGTAGCAAGTCTACCCCTAACCTTACATAAGGCGATTTTTGTTTCTGCAATGAAGCCAACCGCTGCGGTTTAACCAGCCCTAAGTGATATCGGTATGGTTGAAATGCTGGCTTTTCATCCTTTGATCCTGAACACTGTTCTGTCGCTCTTTGTAATAATCGTCGTACTTTGTAATACCAGTGTCGCACATTGTAATAACATTTGTCATACATTGAAATAAAAATCTGTTTATTACTTCTCCTCCGACCACCCATTTCAGGTTTACAAAGTGCGACAAGAGAGGGTCACAAGTGTTATTACAAAGTGCGATGACGTGTTATGTGCGACAGGTATAGAGTACTAAAGTGTGACGTCATAAAAATGGAATTTCTGAAATTATGGGATTTGTCAGGATATTCTGAAAGAACAATGTCCAAGAGGCCTACTTGCCAAAAATGAGCATTTGGGGGCAAATTGTCTCTGAGATCGTAGCCCAGTTATGCTTACAAAACTCCATACAAACCCTTCTAAATTTTTTTTGGGTCGACCCAAAAAAAAATTAGAAGGGTTTGTATGGAGTTTTCTGAGTATAACTGGGCTACGATCTCAGAGACAATTTGCTGCGAAATGCTCATTTTTGGCAAGAAGGCCTTTTGGACATTACTCTTTCAGAATATCCTGACAAATCCCATAATTTCAGAAATTTCATTTTTATGACGTCATCACTTTAGTACTCTATTTCACTTTGTCTGTAAATTTTCACCTTTGTTACAAGACCAAGCTTAACTCAGACAAACTAATTATACAAGGAAATGAAAAAAGCATTACATAGTTACTATAAAATACATTTTTTAAAAGCTATTATGAAGCCAAAATCCCAACCCCATTGTTACCTGGAAATTCAATGGGCTGTTTGATACTTGAATGGGAAAATGCAGTGACCCTCCAAACCACATAGTAACTATGGATTATTTATGACAATTGCAGGATTTTTCTTGTCTTAAGATTAATTGGTTCAAGCCATCTGAGTGGAGTA